CCTATGAACTCCTTGGGATAGGTGACAAACTAATTTCTATAGTCCATATACCTGGAAAGACAGTTTTATGAATATCATTAGAATGTAGCTGTGTAGAAAATTTAGTTGTGTGTAGAACTGAGTTGCCCAGAAGAATCCACAGCACACATTAAAAGTATATACTTGATTTTGGTTGCCTAGTTACCCTGGCTGGGTATCTAAGAGACTCTGTTGGAAATTTGGGAAACACTGAAGAAAGTTATGTAATAGCGTAAAATTTAAATCACATTCTTTTTTTACATTTAAAAATGGGAGTGACATCCAAAGATTTCTCTAGATTTCATTCTCATTTTTAAGTTTAGAGTATTAAAAGGAAACCAGTAACTATCCTCATTACTGAAACAAAATTATGCATTTAGATTGGCAGAATATTTTATGCTATGATTAGAACTGGGCTCAGAAGAAATTGTGACCCTTGCACAATGACTTTATTTCTTAATTTCCTTTTCAAAGCTATACATCTTTCCTGGAGCATCAGAACTCTGAATCATGGAAGAAAGTAAATTGATTCTGTATTCTTCAACCCTGCAATTTGGCAGCAAGAATATTTTTTCCTAAAAAATGACTCATTTACAAAGAGACTTTGTGTGAACGTGGAAAAGACTTTCATACTCTCAGAAATCTTGCAGTTGGGGGAAGGGTGGGTATTTGGACCTGCTAAATTTGCAAAAGGGCAAAATTAATGTTGAGTAGTATTAATTGGTCTATGACAATGTGAAAGTTGCAGTTCTACAAGAAAACACAGGAACACCTATATTCCCAAAAAGAAAAACTCAGTAGCCTATATGAAAAGCTTATCATTTGTCCTATTTCAGGGCTTTTTTTTTTTTTTTTGGTTTTAATGTACCCTGCTATGAGTCAAGCAATGTTTTTTATTTTTTGCTCCTCTTGGAAAGTGTTCTATGTTGTAATATTCCTCCCTGTTAACCTTTATTTTCCTGGTTTTTAGTCCAAAATTTGTTTTACTGAATTTCATCCAACTTCTCCTGGTGATTTGCCTTGGGATCCCCCAGCTCGGATGTGGTTTTGGTTTTTCTTTATTTTGTTGCTAATCATGTTTCCTCTAGTGCTAAAATAATCCTTGAGCTTCTTGATACAATTAAGTTTTCAAGAATGCATCTTGTATGTTAGGAAAATAGCAGTCAGCTGGTTCTTATATAGTGGGAAGCATTGATTATTCCTATGCTGCAGTTTTTCTAAAGACAAAGCAAACAGGCCCCTCGAAACACACAGGACCTTTTTACATGTTCAGCATTGGATCTGTACATGTGCTGAAGAAAGCTTAAGTCATGATGTGATGCCCAGCCGTGTCATTCCTCATGCTCTGATGGTGGCCCTTAAAGCTAAAGAATAAGGTTCTGCAGAAGCGATCTATGGCTTTGTACACAGTCATTGAGTCTAAAGAAAAGAAAGAAGCTCACCTTTACGGAGATTCTAACACCTGTCAGACATTTTCACCTGTGAGTCCGTTGATTTACTGTTATTCCGGTTTATGGTCAGAAGGTGAGGCTTAGCTCTCTAAAATGGCTTAGCTGGAGTCCCACAGAAAGTCAAGGGAGGAGCAAAAATTCAGCCCCAGGTCTTTTCCAGTTTTAAAATTCATTGTCTTTCCACTTCACTGTGTTGCCTCCCAAGACTTGAGGATGTGATGAGTGTGCCTGAGGTCACATTATGAGTCAGAGGTGAGCTGGGAACACTGTCTGGGGTATCTCCACATTGCCTTAATCTATTAAAATGTAACACAATCACTTACTCCTTCCTCAGAGGGGAGAGATGCCATGGCAGCGTTTGATCTACTAAAGATTAACTTTCTGAAAAAAGTAATAAAGCGCATATGACATTTGGCTTAACTTTTGAAAAAAAAATGTGAAAGCAAAAGTTCATTAAATGAGAACCATTGCTGATGACCAATCATTTTGATACATAGTCAATTTCCATGGTGACTTTCTTTTGAGGAATTTTATTAACATTTCTTTCCTCTGGGTCCTCAGAATTCTAAGCAATTTAAAACAAATCTGGGAACTTCCCTGATGATCCAGTGGTTAAGACTCCGTGCTTCTATTGCAGGGGACCTGTGCTCAATCCCTGGTTGAGGATCTAGGATCTCTCATGCTATGCAGCCAGTGATTATAATAATAATAATAATACCAGCACATATTAGGCATGCAATAAATGCTAGCTATTAAAAATAAAGCAATAAAAATATGATCAAACTAGTCTGGCACATGGAATTCTTGAATCTGATTAATTGTTCTAGAATCCTAGGACTGGATGTGTCATGACGTATTTTCTGATGAGAGGGTATTTCTACCTACTTGGTCTAGTATGTAACTTTTGGCAATTTCTCAGTTTCATCATTTGCAAATGGGGATAATCTAGAACGGACCTTAAAAGGTGGCTGTGAGGATTAAGTAGATTAACATATATGAACATATATATAGTCTAGAACATGATTAATACTGTATAAATTATTGGTACTATTATTTTTTCCAATAATAGGAGCATGTTGTAAGTCATGTCACTTTCTCTGGATTGTGCATGCAGGGTTTTGAAGGATGTAAAGAGCATCTTTGGCATTTTTAATGGACCTGGTTCTGTATAGGCACGTGCTAGCAGTGGCAGCTGAAAAGCAATTCCAGGCCCATCTGATTCTAAAGGTAGAGAGAAGGAAATTCAGTGATGATTGGAGTGACAGAGATTCCAGGCTGAACAAGCTGTGTCCATGGCTTTTATTTCTCCTCCCTGATCTTGAGAGCATGAACCACGTGGTGTTACTAATAGTTTCAATTCCAGAAGCTGCTCAAGCAAACATGGTTCCTTGGGAAAAGAGATTTTTTACACTTGCATTCTGTGTGGATGACTTGGAGGTGAATTTTTCCAACATTTGATTGACAAAATATGTAGCAGATGCTCTGTTCAATGATATATAGAAATAAATGATTCTTTGTCTTTCATCTCAAGGGGGTAAAATCCAGTGACACGGCGACAGTGCCATCCTAGAGAGCAGATGGTGGGTTTGGAAATGGCAGGTTGCTTTGTATGGAGTTTGAAGAGGTTCGTTTTGAGACTTGTTCATGGGGTGGAGTAAAATGTTTAAGGAGGGGGCCATTGGACTCAAGAGAAATAAAAGTTTAAAGAATACTGGAGAAGACATAATGATACATTTTGTGAACCAGCAAATGGGGAAAGATTGATGGTTGATGATAGAAATCATAGTCACCCTCATTCTGGGAGTAGCTGAGAGCATTTTACAAAATGAGAACTGCAGTGTATATAAAAGGAGAAAAATAATAATCTGCGACTGATCTTTCTGAGGCCCTGTTATTGTTGCTATTATTGTTATTAGAGTTAGCAAAGGACAGTAAAAGGAATATTTGAAGTTGGAATGGAAAAGCAGGGAATTCTGATGTCTCTAAAATTGCAGCTGAAAATGTACTGACACATGACTGAGTGGATACAAAGATCCATGCAGACACTCATGAATAGCCATGTGGGAATGACGCTTTGGGGTTTAAGAATGAGGGTGTTATTGGAGACATTAATGAGATCTGTGCTAATGGTTATTGGCAATAGAAAACTGTGCCTGAACAGTAGGGTCTGAGAAAGATGGGATGTGAATAAAGAGGGAATGTTTGTAGGTGCCAGGTGGTCCAAGTCAACCCAACACTGATCCTGGGAAACTTGGACAAGTGTTGAGGGTCTGAAGTTTGTTTTGGAGTTTAGTGACCATGCAGGGAATGAAGACTGGATAGTCTGCATCTGTCTGAAAAAGTTGTGTTTTACCAAGTTTCCAAATTCTGGAAGGATGTATAGGACACAATGGATTTGAAAGTGACCTTAGTAGACAGCTCAGCCTTGGGAGGTGGGGGGGCACATCATAGCCATGTTTGTGGGGTGAACTTTCTAAATAGGCAACCCAAAGTCTGTTATAGACTTATCCTGAAGAATAGCATTCATCCAGGTATAATTTATTGCAGATGACCACAATCTGGTTTTTCCAGTGGTCATGCATGGATGTGAGAGTTGGACTATAAAGAAAGCTGAGCGCCAAAGAATTGATGCTTTTGAACTGTGGTGTTGGAGAAGACTCTTGAGAGTCCCTTGGACAGCAAGGAGATCCAACCAGTCCATCCTAAAGGAGATCAGTCCTGGGTGTTCATTGGAAGGACTGATGTTGAAGCTGAAACTCCAATACTTTGGCCACCTAGTGCAAAGAGCTGACTCATTTGAAAAGACCCTGATGCTGGGAAAGATTGAGGGCAGGAAAAGAAGGGGACAGCAGAGAATGAGATGGTTGGATGGCATCACCGACTTGAAGGACATGGGTTTGGGTCGACTCAGGGAGTTGGTGATGGACAGGGAGGCCTGGCGTGCTGTGGTTCATGGGGTTGCAAAGAGTTGGACACGACTGAGCAACTGAACTGAACTGATAATCAGGTAGTTTTAAAATGTGTCACATTTGTTTAATCCTCCAATCCTAGATGGTTTTCTTTTGAATACATTGAATGTGTTTCTAATGTGCAGAACATTTCTCCAGGAACTCTGAACATTGACTCTGTATTTCCCTTTCAAAGCCTTCCTTTGCAGTGAAGCATTTCTCGATAATTTTATTGAGCTAGAGATATTTAATACCTTTTTCCTAAAGGCTGGATGGTGTGCATTCCTTATTAAGCATTTGCTCCTTTGTAGTTGTGGTTTCTTAAACTTCTTAAACAGTCATGAAGTGAAATTGTAGGTGTGAGAAATGTGAGAAAGAGTGAATTCTGAAATGGAAGGCTGGGAATTCCCTGGAGGTCCAGTGGTTAAGACTCTGTGCTTCTACTATAAGGAACACGGGTTTGATCCCTGGTCGAGGAACTAAGATTTCGCATGCTGCGTGGGAAACCAAAAAGAAAATCAAAATGGAGTGCTGCCCTTTGTGAATATGATGAAATAATTATTTCTTATTTCCTTCTCTTCAGGGATATCAGGGAATAGCAGGATCACCAGGTGTTCCAGGATCCCCGGGAATACAAGTATGTGGTCTGTGTATTCATATTTTAGCAGTACTGTTTCTAGTGAACCAAAGAACATAACTAACAGAATTTTATTTTGTGGTTAATTTAGGGAGCACAAGGACTGCCAGGTTACAAAGGAGAACCTGGGAGAGATGGAGAAAAGGTAAATACACACAAAGGCATATCTGGTTGTTTCAGTGACTCAAAGACAAAGGCTGTTACCTGTGAGGACCCCCATTCAATGGTGTTCATCCTGGTGAATTCCAAGATTTTGGCTCAGAAATGTCAGGGACCATTGGCTGATCAAGCACACAGGAGGCGTTTATCACCAGAACAAAGTGGTTGTCCCTAGATGACCACTGCAGATGGCGCAGGTGTTTGCCTTGCCCTGGTACCGTCTTCTCTGTCTGTGGTTAAGGTCCACAGGGAGCTGCCTTCTTAGAGAGAAGAGAATTATATGAATGCAGTATGTTCCCATATTAGTCACCTATAGCCATTTATCCATCTCTACAACAGAAACCCATTTTAGTCTTACTGGGTGGACTTCTTTCTCCTATAGGGATTCCGTGGGTGCAGACATTTGTCTAACTTTCCTTTTCTGCAGCTGTGAGATTTGCTATGTTTATTTATTAATTTTGTTGAGAGTGTTTTTTTTTTTTTTAGGTGCTTGGGGGTATTTAATATATGTATTCATTCAATTTTTTTTTTAATTGGAAGAACTATGTTCTTTAAATTTGTTCAATATTTTAGTACCTGCCCAAGAATCTAGTCCTGGATCCAGGACACTGGTCCACATCCAAGATGGCCATTTGGATTTGCTCAGATCCCCAAGATGATTTGTTGGCTTAATTCCTAAAGCACATGATGGAGAAAAGGTAAATACACACAAAGGCATATCTGGTTGTTTCAGTGACTCAAAGACAAAGGCTGTTACCTGTGAGGACCCCCATTCAATGGTGTTCATCCTGGTGAATTCCAAGATTTTGGCTCAGAAACGTCAGGGACCATTGGCTGATCAAGCACACAGGAGGCGTTTATCATCAGAACAAAGTGGTTGTCCCTAGATGACCACTGCAGATGGTGCAGGTATTTGCCTTGCCCTGGTACCGTCTTCTCTGTCTGTGGTTAAGCTCCACAGGGAGCTGCCTTCTTAGAAGAGAATTATATGAATGCAGTATGTTCCCATATTAGTCACCTATAGCCATTTATCTATCTCTACAATAGAAACCCATTTTAGTCTTACTGGGTGGACTTCTTTCTCCTATAGGGATTCTGTGGGTGCAGACATTTGTCTAACTTTCCTTTTCTGCAGCTGTGAGATTTGCTATGTTTATTTATTAATTTTGTTGAGAGTGTTTTTTTTTTTTAGGTGCTTGGGGGCATTTAATATATGTATTCATTCAATTTTTTTTTAATTGGAAGAACTATGTTCTTTAAATTTGTTCAATATTTTAGTACTTCCCCAAGAATCCAGTCCTGGATCCAGGACACTGGTCCACATCCAAGATGGCCATTTGGATTTGCTCAGATCCCCAAGATGATTTGTTGGCTTAATTCCTAAAGCACAATTTTATTTCTGCATTCTTTGAAGACTCTTCTGCTGTTTGCACCTGATGAAAACTTGTGCTTAATTTTCTAGCTACAATCCTTGCAAAATGATTGTCTTTTAAAAACAGGGTGCATGGCATTCACACCTGAGAAACACTGATCTGGACTCCATCCATTTTACATTTTTGTGGTTGTTCATACTGGTTATAAGAAATTGTAGCTGCTCAAGTTCTATCTCTGGATGGACCCCCTGGCAGATCTCATGATGGGGGTGCTGCTTTCAAGCTGTTGATCTTGGCTTGTGATTTGATGTCTTTGAATATTATTTTGTTTGTTGAATCAATGGGGATTTCTTTATAGGTTTATATCACAAAATAAGTGTGATAACATATGAAAAATACTTAGTGTGGTCCCTGGTACAGGATTTTCCTTAAATAAATGTTTGTTGTTTTATTGTTCTGTTCTGTTTACCAAGGAATGAGGTTGTGGTTGGGTTGTTGCATGGGGGTGGCTGACATGTGTCCTGGGCAGGAAGTTTTAGGGCAAACAGGGCAGTTAGTGACCGAAAAACATACAGAGAAGGTGGAATTGGTTAGGGGAGCTCTGTAATGTGGGGGGAGCCAGGTAAGACAGAGCAACAACAGCAGTTGATAGAATTCTGGCAGAAATGGTACAAAATCTTCTTGCCTCTCAAGGGACCTTGGCCTCTGTGAATGTTTTTAGCCACTGGCAATCTCTGCCTATTTTAAATGATGAAGGTGCATATTAGGAGGTGATAGAGAGCAGGCCAGGCCCACAGGTATGGAGATGCTTTATATTTGTATGCTCTGGGCTATCATGAGAGACCCCCAACTCCTCTAGGAGAATGAGGGATCCCACTGGGAAGCGGCAGCTATTTGTTCCGAGACCACGTGCCGGTCCCCTCACTCTGTTCTAGTCTACAGGATCATTGCTGTTTCTTTAATGTGTTCACAAGTAGCCTGATTCAGGCATGGGGTGAATATATAAAAGTATGCATGCATGAATAAATGTATTCAGGAATGGATAAATGAATATATTAATTTAAATATTTTTGTGTTGACTTGGGTTTAAATGGTGGATTTTTATTCATTCATCACAAAAGAATTGGAGTAAAACACCTTATTTAAACATAAAGAACAGTAATCTACAAAACAATCAGACCCATAAACACAGGGAACAGACTTGTGGTTGTCAGGGGGAGGAAGGATGGAGGAGGGAGAGAGTGGGAGGCTGGGGTTAGCAAGTGCAAGCCCTTATAATAAGAGGAATAAATAACAAGGTCCTACTGTATGGCACAGGGAGCTATACTTAATATCTGCTGATAAACTGTAATGGAAAAATATGAAAAATATAAATATATACACATACACATACATATATGTATATACATATCATATATATCAGCATCAGTTTGCTATATACCAGAAACTAACACAACATTGCAAATCAACTATACTCCAATAAAATAAAAATTAGGGGAAAAAAGAACACTGATTCTATTAGTTGCCTCTTAAACTACCTGCTCTATCATTTTGAGTCATTATATTATCTTTAAAATAAAAGTGAGTGACTCTCACAAAGCCATATATTCTAATGAAGAAGACAAAATGAATACACAGGGAACAGACTTGTGGTTGTCAGGGGGAGGAAGGATGGAGGAGGGAGAGAGTGGGAGGCTGGGGTTAGCAAGTGCAAGCCCTTATAATAAGAGGAATAAATAACAAGGTCCTACTGTATGGCACAGGGAGCTATATTTAATATCTGCTGATAAACTGTAATGGAAAAATATGAAAAATATAAATATATACACACACACATACATATATGTATATACGTATCATATATAGCAGCATCAGTTTGCTATATACCAGAAACTAACACAACATTGCAAATCAACTATACTCCAATCAAATAAAAATTAGGGGAAAAAAGAACACTGATTCTATTAGTTGCCTCTTAAACTACCTGCTCTATCATTTTGAGTCATTATATTATCTTTAAAATAAAAGTGAGTGACTCTCACAAAGCCATATATTCTAATGAAGAAGACAAAATGAATAAGATATATGTTTATATAAATTTCTCTGTTTTCAGCTTAGTAGTGATTTTGTTCAGTGTTGTTTTCTGAAGGTCATTGTTTGGGTGTTAACTCTGGTGGACGTAACTATGGGCCTAAAATCCTTATGTGTTGCCCCTAACTTCCCTCCTGATGTCTTATGTGGCTCTGAGAATTTCTTTACTTGAGAACTACAATAATTTAGTGAGTTAAAGGCTTTTCCTTGGTTCTTTCTCCAGAATGTTCAGCAGAGGGAAGGTTGAAAACATACCCTGGGGATGGCCTTGACTTGTGGTCGATCAGGGCATTTTTTCCAGGCATCACCCATGGCCTTCAGGGGATTGTTCCACATGTACTGTTCTCTACAGGGATATTTTCCCAGAATAATTTCCATTTTGTGGATTTCCACTGAAAACTCCCATGGGAGTTTCCACTTAAGATAATTAAAATTATATGCACTTTCTTGCTGACTGTAACATTTGTTCCTCACATATCAGACAAGAGAATGTATATAGATTTTGTATGGTTTCTTTTCCCCTGAATTTACAAAATTAAGAGGACATCTTATCCACCAAATGGTCTTCAACTGATGACTTTTGATCCAAAGCTATTCTTTGGTCTCTGAGAAATACTTTAACTACTTCAAAGCACTTCCCCAACCTTAAGGAAGACTAATATATTTAAATCATGTGGAGAAATATATTTTGTTAAAGCACATTAACCTGGGTTGATTAACTGATGTATATTTATGGCTTTTCTAATTGACTATGAAATTTTGCATGGAAAATGCAATTCTGGAGACACAGGAAGCATTAATAATTTTTTTAAACTAGCCAGACTTTGTTCAAATTCATCATTTGGTTTTTCAGGGTTTAAGAAAAAATACATCTTAATTCTAACTAAGGTTATCTTTATGAAACCAATTATATACCCTGTGTTTAGTACCTTCATTAGAGCATCAGACACTTGAATTGTTCTTTCAGCATTTCCCTGTCCAGTTGCTCTCAGCATCACATCAGGGCATCATGTGATGAGCGAGCCTTTCTTAGATGAATAAGCCTCATTATCTAAGCTTTGAAAGGCAATGTTATCTATTACACAATCAAGGAATTCCAATATATATATGTTGAGAATAGTAATAAAGGACCAAGCTGAGAGTGTTATTAGGGAATAATATTTTAAAATTCAGCATTCCAGTGGCTTTAGTTCTTCATCTCTCACCTCTAGCAGTGTTCCTGAGGATAAAAAAATTGTTTTTTTTATAAAATTGAAATGAAGCCAATAGTGACATAGGAGGAAGAAATAGAACTGGCTTAGGAAGGGGCCACTTTTTACTTCTTTTTTCTTCATTTTTCTTCTTTCTTAAAGGGAGAGTAATCTGCCCATGTAGATTTCTGATAGCCCAGTGGCCCAAACATGGACGTGTGCACATGCGTGTTGCACGGTGTTGGAAGTTTCAGGCTGTACCCTGAATTCAGACTGCTTCACCTTCCTAGTCATGCTTCTTAATCTCTTTAAATCTGTTTTCCCAAATCTAG